CATGGGAACTGCAAACAGTACTCATATTGAGTAAGGCGTTGCCTTAAAGTAGATTTTACTGTCTCAGCTTGGAGAATCCCTTCCAGGGGTTCAGTCTGATGTCAGAAGAGGGAGTTGACCCTTCTCAAGCTTTTCTAGGTCTTGTTAATGATGTACAGCATGATAATTAGCATTTTCATCCCAGGCTGCAATTTAGAGATAAGCTTTCTCTCTTAATCCCTGTTTTCAGAAGCCTGATTAAAGCAATACCCGTTTTTTCCATAGATGTCCTGTGTCCAACACCTCCACACCATCCTTGAAATTAACGCACAGCGCTGTGCTACCCACACTCGGATGAAGGTCTCTGAAGGTCTCTCTTCTGCTGAAGGCCAATAGCATGCTGTGTAATAGGAAAATATGAATCTCTCTCTCCAAAGCAGTGGAAAGTGCTGAGGGCTGCTCCACTAGGAGCTTTGTTTGTCCTTATTAAGAGAAAGGAACATCCTAAATTCACTTTGAGGGGGGATCTTGCTCTACATGCCTCTGCCCGTCACATGAGGAAGAGGCAATTCTGAACTATTGCTTTGATTGGCTTCCCGCACTGGGAAAACATCTCATTCTTGTAGAAGTGACCTAAATACATCTTATAAAAAGCATCAACTATGCAGTAACTTGGCCAGCTCTACAGCTCCAGTAAGGGCTCAGTACTGGGTGGTGAAGTCAGTAGCAGCTGAGTGAAGGCACTGGTAGAGCAGCTCCCAGAAAGCAGTGATCATCCGCTACGTCACATTTATCCTACTCATGGTGCTCTATAAACACCAATTTGCCCCTGAATATTTTATTTCCTTTCTTGGTTCTTACCACCACATGTAGGTTAAGTGCAGAATAAATACATGAAAACTGGAAGTGACGTTATGTCAGATCTCTCCTCCCTGTAAATCATCACCCTGATGATTTTTGGGTCTGATGCGGGGTCCAGTTGCAGGAAGGCTCTTACCTGGCTCTCTGGGGCTGGTTTTGTCCCTGTTGTTCTAGATCCCTTTCCATCCATTGAAGCCTAAAAGCTCAGGAACAAACGCTGCAAGTGCAGCCCATAGAAAGGTTTTGTGGGTCTGTAGATGGGTGGTTTGTCTTTTATCCTCTCTAGCCCAGAGCAGCAGCACCAGGCGCACATACAGCAGGGTCACAGATGGACCTTCCCACATTGCCACCAGGCCATATCAGCATGAGAGGAGCAGCTCTCTGGAGAAGCATGGGGGATGGCAAAGGTATTTAGGAGCCTAATTTTTTTTTTTTTTCCTGACAGCAAGCTGATTTCCTTTCTGCTTCCTTCTCCCCCTACTTCACTGCCTTTTTTTTTTTTTTTTAATCTCCCATGCGAGAGATGGCACAAAACAACGCAGAGGAAGGAGAACAGCAACCTGAGGCCTGACACTTTTGCTGAGGGCGTAGGAGAGTCAGTCCTATCCAACCAACGGAGCGTGGCTGGGAGCGCTTCACTAACCCTGAACACTAATGACACCAAGTGGTAGCAATGGACATTCAACCGTATCAATCTGAGTCTGCTTCTCACCAGGCCGTCCCACAGCTGAAACAAATGTCAGCAGAGGAGGTGGTTTATCTCCCTTCCTCTTATCTTGCTTTGCTTCCTTTTCCCATCTCTGCAATCATGCCATGGCCACAGGGAAGCCCAGGAGACCTGCCACGATCACCATGAAGCCATCCATGTTCCAAACTGATGCAGCTGCTGAGGGCCTGTGCAGGTTGAGGGCACCCCAGCAACCTCTCAAGTCAGTGACCCCAATTGCAGATCTGCTCATGGCATGCAGAAGCAGCTGGCAGGTTCTGGAGAATGTTGAGGCATGAGAGAGAGAGCTCCATACAGGAGCATGGAGCAACAAGGGGACAAGTGCAAAGCTGGAGAAAACAAACAAACAAACAAACAAAAAACTCAACAGTTTACCAGTTTGTAATTTAAATTGAAGAGGGACTCGAGGCTTCAGCTTGAGTGGCTGCTTGTCAGAGTGGGAGAAAGAATGAAACAGCCCAGTGACGGAGCTGCAGGTGCAGCACCAGGCTGTGCAGTCTTCAGCCCCAGAGATTTTTAAGACTCAGATGGACAAATCCCTGAGCTGACCCTGCTTTGAGCAGGTGGGTGGACTACAAACACGCTCAGACCCAGCAAAACCATGGTCACGGAGACGTGGCAGAGGTCTGTTTAAGCTCTAAAAGCACTGAAGTACATGGTTTTCTCCAGTCTTACACATGACCAGTCTTACACATAGCAGGGACACGTCATCACCATCTCCATCTTTACTCTGAGCCTGCTCAGCACCTGAATCAGTACTCAAACATTTATATTAATAAATTAATTAAGTTAAACTCCCCAAATTGAGTTTGTTTTGCCTGTGACAGCAATTCCTAAATGATCTACTTATCTTTATCTCAGGGACTGGGGGAGGTGGGGGCAGACAGGCAAGATGAGCATTTCTTGCTAGGTGGGTTAAGTAAGAAGGATCTCACTCAGGTGCCGCATGGCAGATTCCTGCTGTAACATCCGGAAATCTGTCTGCCTTCCCTCAGGCCTCCCTGAGCAAGATGTAAGCTGGCAGTCCCACAACATGGCATGCCGTAAGACAGCTGAGCATCAGGTCAGAAATCCCATACAGCTGCCATTCCATCACAACTGCCAGCTCTCAGGCATCTGGTCTGCTCCAGCATCAAATATGATAGGCTGAGCCATTATTTTTCTTGCTTATTATTAGTTTATAAGCCAAGGCTTTGCTACAGCTAATAGAAGGCAGACTGGGGGCTGCTCATCTCCCAGCAGACAGCAACAAGTGTGTGGAGAAAATAAGTTTAAGAGAGGCACCTTCCTGAAAAACTTCCCCTTGGCTTGGTCCCACTCCCCTGAAGTGGGAAGGATCCTAGCACTGATCCAGGCATGGATCATGCCTTGGTACAACATGGCCTGCGTGCACTTGAGAGAACGGCTCTCCTCCCAGCAGGAGCTCAGAGCAGCCCCCTGCAGAGGTCAAGGCTGAATGCATTATGAGAAGGATGCAGGGGACAGCTTACAGCTTCCCTTAAGGCACCTAGTGTCAGAGTTAGCTCTGCTTGAGGATGTGCCCAGGGTAGCCGGGGGACAGTATATGAACAGCACTTTACGAAGGTACAGAAACTTATTCTGTAATCTCTGCTTGTTTTCCAGCCTTCTGCATCTCTGAAGACAGTACACTCGCTGTTCTAAACACATCATAAAAACAAGTTAATAAAAAGACAACCTGCCTTCTTCAGCTGTTCCAGAGGACCCTGGGGCCACACACAAGAGCTTAGCCATGGGCACACATTGCAAGCACACCACAGTCATCCTAAAGCAAGTACACTCCAACAAGGAGAACTTATGGAATCATAGAATCACACAGGTGGAAAAAACCTTAAAGATCATTGAGCCCAACCACAACCTGACCATGCACCTTAACTCTAACAACCCACCACTAAATCACATCCCTGGGCACCATATGTTTTTTTAAACACATCCAGGGATGGTGACTCAGCCACCTCCCTGAGGAGCCCATTCCAGCACTTCACAACCCTTTCTCCTGATATCCAACCTAATCTTACCCTGGTACAACATGAGGCCATTTCCCCTCCTGTCACCTGTAAGAAGAGACCAACCCTGCTCTTGCTCTAAGCACCTTTCAGCTATTGGAAGAGAGCAATCAGGTCTCCCCTCAGCCTCCTCTTCCCCAACTAACAGCCCCAGTTCCTTCTCCTCACAGGCCATATTCTCCAAGTCCTTCACCAGCCTTGTTGTCCTTCTTCGGACCTGCTCAGCACCTCCACGTCCTTTTTGTACTGAGGTGCCCAAAACACAACACAGTACTTGAGGTGAGGCCTCACCTGTGCAGTGCAGGGCAGAATGACTTCCCTGGTCCTGCTCACCACACCATTCCTGATACAACCAGGATGCCACTGGCCTTCTTGGCCATCTGTGCACACTGCTGGCTCATCTTCAGCCGACTGTCCATCAGTACCCAAAGTCCCTTTCCATCAGGCAGCTTTCCAGCCACTTCCCCTCAAGCCTGTAGGGTTGCCTGGGGTTGTTATGACCAAAATGCAGGACCCAACACTTGGCCCTACTGAAATTCACACAGTTAACCTTGTTAACTCTGTAGTGCCTTTGTCCCCTCTGGCACATCAACACTCCCTCCCAGCTTGGTGGTGTCTGAAAACTTACTGAGGGTGCACTCAATCCCCTCATCAAGATCATTAATAAAGATGTTGAATAGAAGCAGCCCCAGCACTGAGCCCTGGGGCACACCACTCGTGACTGGTTGACAACTGAATTTAACTCCACTGGCCACAACTCTTTGGGCCCGGCCATCCAGCCAGTGTTTCACCCAGCAGACCATACATCCATCCAATCTGTGGACAGCCAGTTTCTCCATGAGAATGCTGGGGAGACAGTGTCAAAGGCTTTACTGAAGTCCAGGTTGACCACATCGACAGCTTTACCTTCATCCATTAAGCGAGTCACCTTGTCATAGAATGAAATCAGGTTTATCAGACAGGATCTATCATCGGTAAGCCCATGCTGACTGGGCCTGGTCCCCTGGTTGACCCTTAACCGGTCCACGATGGCTCCCAAGATTATCCATTCCATAACCTCCCCCGGCACCAAGGTGAGACTGAAAGGTCCGTAGCTACCAGGATCATCTTTCCAGCCCTTTTTGAAGATGGGTGTCACATTTGCCAGTCTCCAGTCCACTGGGACATCCCTGGTAGCTAGGACTGTCAAAGAATGATGAAGCATTATAGAGGATTGCTGCAGTAGCAAGTGCTGTAAGAACTTACCCAAGTTTGTAATTTTGTTTTAGATCAATAAGCAGGGCAGCAGGGAGCATAGCCTATCACCTCCTGGCTGATGAGAAGCAGGAGCCTCCTTCCATTCTGCATTCTTCCTGCACAAGCCATGGGGTCTGCCTTTCCACCCTCAAGAAAAAGTCTGAGCTAGCATCTGCAAAGAGCTGGTTTTATTCACAGGGGCACATCAGACAACAAGGAAACAGAAAACATACAGGAAATATACAGGGAGGATCTGCTTTTCATACAAGCAATCACTATTAACAGTATTACAGAAAGAATAAATGTGATGTTGCTACAGTAACCCACAAGGATGATGCTCTCCTCCATTTGCCATGCACAGCTTAGCCTGCTGACCTCATCCTTCACTGCTGCGCTTCTTCAGTTTGAGAAATATTTCTCCAGCACCTTTGTTAAAAGCCCAGTCTCCTACAAGAAAAAGCACAATGGTGAGCCACAACTCCCCTGTGCCACCTCAGCTGATATCACACGCACAGCCCTGGGGTGGCACTGTGAAACCCCAGCACACTGAGAGCCAAGCCCTGCTACTGCATGTGGTTAAAAAGATGAATAATCCCCATTCGCAGCCCTCTCCTGTTCTGTGAGACTTCTGCTATGATTTGCATGGAATGGTGTGTGGGATCCTGCTTCGTGGAGGGACATTTTGAGACTAATCCCACCAGCAGCAGGTAGGACCAGCCCACGTGAAGCAAAGGATTTGTTGAATGTTTACAGGAGCCTACAGAAAGGGAGAACCAGCTTATGAATGATCAGTGATACTGCCTCGGTGTAAAAGGTCTGCTCAGATTTTGAACAGTAGTGTGCATTCCCAACAGTTACCCTGCAGCACAGCACAGCTTTTGTGCTGAAGCACCAGAACAGCACTTGCATGTTAGTTCTTGCCCCGCTGAGAAACAGGGAGAAGCATCTCTGCTTTTCTAAACTGCTTCAGGATGGAAGTGACAGACCCTGAGAAGAGGGTGTACAGAGTTTCGCAGCACAAAGCTGCTAAGCAGCTTCTTAGGCAGGTGGCAAATGCAGCACACACACCAGCTCAAGCACAGGCTGGCTGCTGACCCCAGGTGTCCAACAACAGCTACAGGAAGGGAGAAAGCAGGAACAGCAGGAGGAATTTATGCTGCTGTCACGTCACCCCAGCAAGAGCAAAAAAAGGTCCCACAGAAACGTATAACGACAGCACTCAAAAGCATCATGGAGAATTAATGTCAACCAGCAGCTCAGAAGCACAGATGGTCAAGGGGGTGAGTGGTAGGAAAAAAAGGAACAGGAAGGCAGAAGCCGGTCCAGAGGTGCTCAGGGTACCTGAAGGACAGAAATAGATCTAAGACCCAGCTAGGAGCACGTGCAGATTGAAGCAGGAGAGCTGTGAGGTTCTGGAAGGAACTGGTATGAGGTAGGAGCCAACTGCCTGCCAGGCACCCAGAATGGGGTGCAACCTCACATCCAGGCACCAGATGGGCACTGGGCAGCCCACATACTAAAGGCTGATGTCCAGCACTGGGTTCTAGCTCTGGCTCCATCTCCAGCTGTATCTTCTGTCCCAAGGGGATTAGCTTGCTAGCAGATCCTCAGTTTACCTAAATCTGATGAAATTGAATCAGGGAGGTCCTTGAGCATCAGTACCACTCAGGCTCACATCCCTGCAGCTCCACTCCACCTGTGCCTATCCCAAAAAGCAAACAGGAGCAAGCACTGCCTAATCAGTGCTTCTAGATGACAGAAGCAGCTTTACCTGTGTTCAGCTACTGAATGGCTCCTCAAGCATGGCAGCTCAGTGGGAGCACACACAGGACACACCCATGAGGATTTCATCTCTTCTAGGCTCTCCATTACTTTCTGCTGTGAACAGAAAGTACAAGACACCAAGGAAACACACAAGAGGCAGCAAACGGGCAGAAACACAGCCCAAGCAACTCCATCTCCACCTCTTGCGTGAGGATCTGTGCATGCTTTGCTCCCAGGGGCTAACTTCCCACTAAGAGCTGGGAAAGCCCCCAGGGAAAAGCCACACCAAGGAGCTAAAAAGAGGAATGTGAAGATCTGCTGCTGTGGTACAGGAACCCCTGCTGTGGATGGGGCATGCGACTGCTCCTAAAGACCTGTTCTGCAGGGAAATAACACACACCTCACCTCTCTGCAGGCCAAACTAACAACACCACACGTCCTCTGCACCCTAACCACAGCAAAACAGCCCCAGAAAGGGGAATTAGAAGACTAAAACCTTTTTGCAGGACAGACTCTTCTTCCTGCACATACAGAGCAGTGTCTCTCTTGACCTTTCTCTGCAAGGAGAGAAGAGGCATGATTTGCACTCCTTGTCTTCACCACGGCTGGATAAAGAGACACACATGGCAGCCGCAGCAGCCAGCTACCCTCATCTGCATCAGAGGAGGATCCAGATGCTTCTTAACAACCCCTGGCCTGGAGATCACCTCATCCCCTGCTCAGCTCTCCAAACATGAGGACAAAAAGCCCCTGTCGTTCAGCCGAACCTCCAGCAGCAGTGCAGGTGCTTCCATCTCCACCACCTCCCTGCTCCGGGCATCTCCCTCCATACCAGCCAATATTCACCTGGTCAGCGAGATCGTATTTTCTTTGGTTCTGATCCAAAAGTCTTTCTTGCAAGAGGATTTTCAGGAGCTCCCGGGTAAGCAGTTCCACCACGTCCTCCAGCAAAGCTCTGAGCGAGGGGCCGAAAGACATCGGCGCCGCCGGCTGCCGCAGTTCATCCATTCGCGGGGTGCCCGGCACGCTCTTCTTCCCCATGAAGTGACCTGCAACACAGCGCGCTCGTGTGCCTCGCGCCCGGCAGCGGGGCGGGGACCTCCGAGAGCCAGGCTGCGACCTGCACCGCACGCCGACAACCCGCAGCCAGCGAACCGAACGCCTAGAAGAACCCAGCAGCCCCGGGGCCTCGCTCGGGGAGCCCTCCTCCTCCGATGGCATCTCTACGGCCATAGGACCGGCGGCTCGGCGCCGGGAGCCGCGAAGAGAGCCGTGCCCCTCACCTCCGCCCGCAGGACCGCCGGGCACAGCCGGGGCGCCACGGCTCCCAGGGTGGCCATCCGTGCTCCGAAGGAACTGCGAGCTCCGTTCGCGAAAGGAGACCTCAGGAGACGCGGCGTGACCGCAGCCCGCCCCAACCGCCCCTCACGGGACCGCCGCGCCAGTCCCGGCCCAGCAGCATCGAGCACCGACCCTCACCCCGGCCGCTCTGCCCCGCGGGCCCCCGGTACCTGTGGCCCACAGGTTGCCGCGGGGGTTGACCTTGATCTTGGCCGCCTGGCTGCGGTGCTCGGCGAAGTCGAGGTGCACGGCGCGCCCCAGCACAGCGCCGCACAGCAGCAGCAGGACGCAGCGCTCCGCCACCATGACCGCCCCGGCGGGACACGCTCCCGCTTAGAGCTGCCGCCGCCGCCGCTTCCATTTATACTGAGCGGGGGGGGCGGGGACTCTTCAAGCCGCGCCCCCTCCTCGAACTGCCTCTACCCGCTGCTTTCCCGCCCTCCGCGTCCACTCAGGGCGTCGCGCGGAGTCACGGAGAGTCGCGGTGCGGCGGGACACGGAGCGCCAGGGGCCGCCTCACCGCCAGCTGCTGAGCTGCGCTTTTATCTTCACTGTCACACCAAGAGCCCACAGTACAGCCTAAAGTGGCACCAAAGCAGCCCCCAAAAGGCCCAAATGATGTCCGAACTGCCCGCAGATGGTCTAGCTCCAAATGGCACCAAAATGACTCTGAAACAATCCCAAAACGGCACTAAGAGATCCCAAAATAACTTCAAAACAACCTGAAGGGGCGCCGAACCCAAAGCTCTGCTTTTCCAGGAGGTCCAGGTCGTGTGGAGGAGAGCTTCCCTGGGAATAGGCACAGGGAAGACTGCTAGCATTGCGCTTCTCAGGGTTTATTGCTGCTGGAGAGAAAAGATCTCGCGGCAATTCACTGCTCCCTCAGCCTGGGGTACAGTCTGAACTGCAAACACAGCTTTATTGTTACAAGAGGAAAAAAAAGAGTAGAAAGCCTCATGTGCTCCCAGGGTCCTCACAAATACTGCGGGAAAGTTTCACCCACGTCAGACGACACGATGCCTAAGTCACGCTCCTGCCTGGCCCTGCAATGCTCCTAACAGAGAGGAGAAGGCAGCTACCAGGACTGTCACCTTCCAAGCAGCGAGAGCCAGCACAGCATTTAAAGCAGGTCAAAGTCTTTTGTTCTGATCTGATTGTAACTGGAAGCACAACCAACCCGACGCAGATCTTTCTTCTTTTTCAGCTGGCAGCTGCAGCTGTTTCTCTCTTCCAGGCTGTGATGAGGGATTGCAAGCCAGGCTGGGAACAGGTAAGTGGGGAGCTTTTCTGTCACAGCCTTGTAACAAACACTCAGAAGCTGGTGGCACACTGCTTTAATTGCTTGACACAGAGGCTTAGCTGGACAAGGTGCAGGGAGATTTGATTAACAAAGGCTCACAACCCTGGTTTCAAGCTGGGGAAAAGCAACACAATAGCTGCTCAGGGACTCGGCGCAGGCTGGAAGTGGACATGATTCTGGGCAGCCAGCGGGGTTTTATGAAAAACGGGGAAATAGACCCAAGCCCACTGCTTGCTGAGCAGCACAGTTGATGCTAAAGGAAGCTTTACAGGCAAGGTTTGAGAATACCATTTACGTCCCCTGCCGTGGTCTTGTTAAAATTGAGTTCCCAACACCAAAACACAGAGTGCAAACCCGAAGCTTAGCACAGCTTGCCCTCTTAAGTGGCATAATTACAGTCAAGGGCAATTTCTAGTTGTATAATCAATGAATGTACAGATATTATAATTATGAAATATACCAGAGAGTTTGGCTAAGCAGTTGTTATACCAAAAGAGAATAGATAGAATGCTTACCCATATCCTGGGCTCAGTATGAAATTCCAGAGGAGAGATCTCCAGAAGAGATCCTTCCCCGCTGGTAGCCAGCTGTTAAATGGGTCTGGGAGAGGTGCAGCCAGGCTCCACTCCTTCCAGCAGCACAGGTGAACTGCCTTCACTGTGCTCCCCTGGCTGACTCAGTGCTCACCTCAGGTGATCGATCAGGCCGTGATTCAGCAGTTCCCGTGCACTAGTGAACGTTGTACAGGTGCTAAGCAGCCCCTGGACAGGATGCTCAACAGACTGGGTCCACCTAAAATGTGTGTTACCACACCTGGGAATAACAACTGCAGCGGTGATCACACTGCAGCCAAGCTGTTCCCTTCCTGAGCAGGCAAGAGTGCTGCTCCTTCCACTGTCACCCTGAGAATGAACAAACATGGCTTGAAAGGTGGCTGCAGTGCAAGTGACCTTGCTTACAAATGGAGACCAAATTTCCACTGGATTTTTTCATCTGTATCTCCATTGCAAAAACATGATATTTGTAATTCAGGAAAAACAGCTGGCACCCACACTTGAAGTCTCCTGCTTGGGAGAGGTTCAATGACCCAAGTTCCAGCACCTGGGGCAGAAACTGTCACTACAGTGCTCCTCCACAGCTTGCTCCCTGCAGCTCAGAAGTTCACCTTACCAACTGCTATTTGCCACCAAAGGAATCTCCCCAGTTAATATATTTTACAAAAGACGTTACAAATTCCATTTTAGAAATTGATTTCTGCCAGCAAAGGTCACAACACTGGTTTCTGCAGGTGGTACAGGAGAGTCGCCTGTCAGCCGCCGAGAGCCTTGCAATGGAGCTGGGGAAGGACGGAGGTGACTCAGCACAGGCTGGACTTCTGATAGATGGCTTTGCCCTCGAGGCAGTGTGCATCTGCGCAGAGCCCACCGTCCCCTTTCCTGCTGGGATTAACCCCTGGAGCTGGGCCAGAGCAGCCTGCAGCTGCCTTTCTGCAGCTGGATCCGTTCCTTCCCACCTGCAGGAACCTTCTCACCCAAGGCAGCCTGAAGGACCTCGGGATCTTTCAGCTTGAGCTGCTGGTTTCCCCTGATGCCTCTGGTTGGAGGAAACTGCCGTGGTATGTTCTACTCTCTATTTTTCCCTATTAATTCTCACTTGCAATTTATTTTCTCGATGACTACTGACCACTGAAATGACATTTTCATAGCACAATCTGTTACAACCCCAGTGTTCCAGATGGTAACACTTAACTCGGAACCCATTGTTTCATAAATAGAGTTAAAATTGTTTTTTTCCCCCGTGCACAATTTTGTATGTATGTACATTTGAATTTCATCATTTTTATTGCCCACTCTCTTTTCACAGTTGGCCTTCATCCACACCAACCCTGAAAAACTTAATATCAACACCAAACTTCAGCATTTGCCTTCTTTTGCAGATCATTTTTGAATGTGCTGAACTCAATCTCTGCACAGTACCCTGGTGTTTTCTGCTGCGGAAACTGTTTCCTCCTACCTTTTAGCAAAAGATTTCTCCCAGTAAGGGCCTCCTCTTGTATTCCAGGTCTCCTTCCTCTCCTTAGGAGCCTTCTCTGAGGGCCCTTGCCAACTACCTTTGGGAAATGCAGCTGGATGATCCCAGCAGGATCACCTTGCCCACACACCTGATTCCTTCAGCGAGCTCCAATTTTCTTGTAGATTAGGTCCTACTCCTTTCCGGCCTGCTGATCTGGTTTATAGCCTGCAGATCCCCACATTCCCAGCTCACCAGGAATCCCTTGGTGCTTCTAGTGGGTGTTGCAGGGCAGGCAAATAGCTAAATGCTTTCCGTGTCCCACAGCATCTCCATCCCAGCCCCAGGGTTTGTTGTTGTCCTTTCCTTCACTGGTTTCTTCTGTGAGTTCTGTGTTTCCCAGAGCCCACGGCACCACAGGACACCTGGGATGCCTCCTTCCTTATCAGTCAGCAACTCCAGCCTGCGCAGAGCTGATGAGGGTACTGACAGACCCGTGAAACTATCAACAAATCCAAACGTACCTAAAAGTGAAGCAGAACAGATTTTCCTCTAGCTCTGCAGAATAAATGTATCATACTCTGCACAGAGGGCCTTGCTAATGCTGAGCTAAGAGCGGGCAAAGTTAACGGAGCAATCTGGAAATGCCATGGTTCAGAGGGCTCAAAACAAGGCCCATTTTATTTCCTCGCTGTTGATTTATGCTTTGATACCTTGCCATTGACGGATGCATCTCCCAGGCAGCCTGGGAGGGACTCTGAGCTGCAGAGCCCCAGAAACACGGCGTGCATGTTTCTAGCCCTGCAATATCCACTGGGCAGGAAAATGCATGCTCAAAACCAATGGCTCTAATAAAAAACACACACGAAGAGCAAAGGCCTCAAAGCCCCTGTGCGTCTCTTTCACAGAGCTCCTGGTGCCAATAAAACTCTTAGCAGCAGATAAGTTACTTCAGCTTCTCCTTCACTGTTCCTCCAAAGCCAGGTCAAACTTAAAGCCCTGTCATACGCCCCAGGCTCTGTTTTGACGCATTTGCCTCTTGTTTACAAAGTTTGAATCCCTCTGTTACATTCATTCTTCCACAGGCAGCAGTGGTTGTTGATAAAAGATAAAATTTGAAATCTCACACATCTTGTTTTTCAATTTTAATTTAAGCAGTAAATGAGTTGTGGTTTTCCCTGAGGTTTCCCACTCACTCCACACCCGCTGGACACAGTACAAATAACAGCTTTGTAACAAGACTTAGAGAAGAAAGTCGTGTTTTCTTGCAGGCAAATCCATGCCTAGATCAGAAGTGTCCCAACCACAATTACGTGGCAGAAGACTTATGTCCCTCTTTGAGTGAATTGAGGCTTAGAAAAATTAAACTGAAGTTCATTTTCTCCACGTTATTTTTACTTCTGCCTCTCTGGAAATTGAAACCCTGCAAGACTGGTTCTATAGGAGAAAGAGAAATTGGAGAGCAGAGGCGATAGCAAGATACTCAGCAGAGAGTGCTCCAAGAAGTGCTCTTAAATTATTAAAGAGAACTAGCAGGAAAGTCAAGAGATGTGGGGGCAGGCAGAGAGAGCGGGAGCAAGAGAGCATGTTTGCGCCATCCTGGATCACAGGGTGCATTTCTAATCTGTCCCTAATTAGACAGATCTCTGTGCAGTTTTGATTTCCATCAAGGCCTGGGGAACTTTGCTAGATCAAACATTCAAAAGACCTATTAGAATTGAACACGTGTATGAACAGCCTCGTGAGCAGAAAGGGATGGAAGCGCTGCAAGGGAGAGCAGAAGGCAAAAGAGGCAGGAAATTGCCTTACGACGCAATATAGGTGCTGCTTCCCCAGAGCTAAGGTGGACTAGTCATCTTCAGGGCATGGAGCAGTGCCAGGAGCGGCTGGCACGGATGGGAACCGAAGGTTGTGGCTGCCTGGCATCACTAGGGTGTACCTGGCAGTCAGAGGTCCGGAACCAGGACACCCCCTCCCCTGATTCAGCCCCTGAGTCACCCACACTGCTGGCCTTCAGCCGGGGTGCTCTGTTTCTCCTGCTGCAGCAGAGTCTCTGCCTAAGCCACCTCTCCTCCCTTGGCATCCCTGTTCAGCTCGTCCTGGGAGCTGTACGCTGGGTTTGCCATCGTGTGTTTCCCCAGCAAGAAGCAGTCTTCTATCCAAGGATAACGCTTTGCTTTACAGCTTCTCCTTGGAAAACATAAGGTTGACGTGTTCTGATTATAAAGGCAGTAAAAGCACCATGAGATCATCCAGTTTTATTAAGGAAAGCACGATCCAATTGTCTTACAAACGCAGTCCTTAGAAACTCCCTGCTTAAGCAGTATGCAGCAGCAGAGGAAAACTGGTAATGCTCACTGCTGTTTGGCTGATGATGTGCATTCAGGCATCATAAACACACAAACAAAGACAGCCTTCGTTTCAGAGAGCTTCAATTTTCAGCACGTTACTTCTCACAGCTCACCGCCCATCCATCATACTTGCCTGTCTGCCTTTGATGTGAAAAAAAGTCAGCCATCAGAACTGTAGCAATGATCAGAGACACCCAGCACTGCTTTGCTCTGAGGCGGCTCCTGCCCCTGCCGGGATCTGTGCACTGCAGAGCTGCGCCCCGGACTGCAGATGTCATCGAGCAGTGATTAGGCAATGATATTGTCTACCAGAAAATCTGCTGTGTTTGGCTGTAACCACAACAGAGCCCGTGGCAGTCTTAGCCCAGGCTGGTTGTTTTTTTTTTCCCATTGTTTTTTTTTTTTTTTTCTTTATAAACCAGACCTTTCAACACCCACGTGCTTTACAAATAAATCCCGTTCCTGTTGTGACACAAAGGTCTCCATGTTTCCTAAGCCACCGTGAGATCCTTAAGCCTCAAAGGCTTTCGTGCAGCAGCCTCACCTTTAAAAAAAGAACAAACCTGAAATAAAACACAAAGCCTCAGCCCATCTAAACAGCAAAACCCCTGGCTCTGTGGGAGCATGGCAGCACTCGCCAGACCTTTCAGCATTAGCAACCAGCTGAACCAGAGATCCTGCACGCTCCATAGCTTTTCTGCTCCGCAAAGCAGAATAAGAGTTGGGGAATGGAGCCAGCAGCAGCTCTTTGTCATCCTGCCCCCACGCTCCCAGTTTGCAGCCTCTGCAGCCTCATCCCCAGCATCTTCCCTTCCCGCAGTGGCAGAAGAGGTGTTGGAGGGATGCAGAAGGTGATGTGGGAGGTAGCATAGGAGCTGGTGGGTGTTGGAGCTGCAAATGGATTTGCGGCATGAATCCTCACTCTTATGAGAGCCAACACCTCATTTCATGGCTGCAGATAACACAGATCCACGTTCTCAGCTACACTGAGCTTTGAAGAGACGGAAGATGGCCTGTGGAGGTCGTTTCCCAAATCACACCATGGCTCCAATAATCACTAAACCTGGGCTGGAACTACCCCACACTTTACCCAAAAACATCCTTCATTTTTCAAACTCTTCCTGCTCATTTGCGGGTCACCATGCAAGAGCAAAGCTGGGAAAGTCCTTCCTGCACCCAAATCTGCAGTCCTCAGCCGCACTGACTGCTGACACCTGCTGCCAGCAGCCGGCAT